CCAGGGAATCCATATGCACTAGCACATACCCCGGTCGGCGCCTCATCGGATGTTGAATGAAGCCGCTGTAAAATTGCCTGGGTGGCGGTAAAAGTAGGGCCAATTGTTGGTCGGCATCTTCTGGAAGACGTTGGCGTTGCTTCCGGATGCAATAAAAGTTATAGGGAATACGTGGTGGCCGCTTGGGTATTCCACATTTATATTTTTGGAGGTCCTCCCCATCTAAACATCCATCGTCAGGAAGTGACTGCTCGACCTCCGGGGGAATGGGAGAATCAGTAGGGGAGTCCGAAGACTGGGCGGAAGGGCTAGTTGCCTGGCCGCTTGGGCCGGCCTTTCCCCTTGAGGATCGACGAATCAAAACCATATCTTCCTCATCTGAGGAAAAATAGCTAGGCATAAAAGAGAAGGCCAGGTAAATACCTCGACGGGGAGAGAACTTGAAGGATTTTTAGAGAGAGAAAATTAGCAGCAAGATAAAAGGCCAAGAAGCAGCAGGAAATGAGGAAACACCAGCTTCCCCATATTTATACTAAAACCCACCGACCATGGACCAAACCAATGAGGGACACGTGGCGGAATTGAGTGGCAGGATGTCCATAGTGGGAACCGGGTCCCAAAAAGAGGTCTTGGAGGACCCACAAGGATTGAAGATTCATAAAGAATCACTGCATTGTACGCTCTGAACGGCTAAGCCCGGATACAACGAGGGCAGACTTTTCTGGGTCTGAATGGGCCCTGACTAATAACGGAGATGAGTTTCCCCTATACAGATTAAGTCCTAAATATTTCCCCGAACAGTCGAAAAGTCGTGATGGGCATGAAACGTAGATTGGAAGACAAAACCAGAAATGAGAAATCAACAAAAAGGGTATTTTACTCTTCGTCTCTACTGACCAGAATATACAAAAAAGATAGAGATAAAAAACACATTGATGCATTGCAAATGGGGGAACCTCTCTAGGAAGGGGCTGATAGCCAGTATTTCATTCGGAATCCTCATCCTCGGCATCTTCTTCTTCATCATCATCAGAAGGTTCACGAACCCTGCTGGCTGCTTGGTCGGCTTCCTTTTGAAGGGCCCAATGGTACTTGTCATATTGGTACAGGAGAACCTTATCCTCAGAAAGCTCGTTCAGGTTGACCTGCTGACCGGCCAGACGCTCCATAATTGGCATGACGCCCCCAACACCACTTGGCACCCCATGTTGAAGGTCTCCCTAGCCATGACGGTGGCCCATTTCTTGCTGATCGGAGTCTCATCGGCCAATTTTACCCTTTGCTTCTAACGGTCGGACCCTGGGGGAACTGCTTCATGTTCTTCCCAAACAAAGTGTCGACATGGACCACGCTATACTCTTAAGCGGCCTTGTTAAAATCCTCAGAGGATCTAAATTCGGCTTGAGAAGTAGCACGGACGGTGGACAGATCCACAGTTATTTCCTGAGGACCGTCCAGAATTTGGGGCTCACTGTCTTTGAAGACAATATGGACAGCCTCAGCGGCCGCCACCTTGGCCTGAGTAGTGCCTAGGCTCACTCGAAGCTGACCAATCTCTTCTTCGAGCTTTTTTCTCTCCTGGTCGGCCGAGCGAATAGCATCTGCAGCCGTCTGTTCAGCCTTAGAACGGGCCTTGACCAACTCCGTCTCCCTGGCCGACCAAACATGATGGAGTTGTAGGTTGTACAAGCGAGCCTGAGAAAAAGACACTCGATCGGAATAAAAAGCCAAGCTGAGGTATAAGGGAAAGAGCGAACGACATGAATAGTTACCTTCATGGTGGCCAGAGCAGCCCCTGCTTCGGCTTGCTCCACCGATAGCGGCGGGAGGCGGAAGTCGTTCACATCAGCAGTGGTGTTCCAAATCTGGAAGAGTGAGCATCCAGCTTGCTCCATAACCTCGTGAATGGGATCCTCGAGGGAAATCCGCTTCACGAGCTTGGCCAACTCCGCCTGCATGGCGTCCAGTTTGGCAGCCCCGTCTGAGCCAGGGAGGTCAGTAAAAAGGGGTTTGGTTTCGGCAGCCTCAAATTGTGAATCGACCTCCATGTGCTCCAAGTTCACATGATGAACAGGCACCTGCTGAAGGGGCTGGGCCTCCTGGGCCATCGGTTGGGAAGGCCCAGCGTCCCCTGTTCGAGGTGTCTTCTTTGCTGGCTTCTTCCTCTTGCCAGCGCCCATAGGTGAAAGACGACCGAGATCCATTGACGCTTCGATGTTGGGAACTGAAAAGGAAGAAAGGAAAATGTTAGTACCGAGCGGTCTTAGCGTGTGTGAAACAAGCATTTAGTGAGTTTCTCGCACGGGAAGGACCGCCCGAGCCATGGCACTTGTTTTTTAGTGAAAAGTCCCAGGAATTCGGACGGTACCTATCCCGGCTTCCACAAGCCTGTCAGGAGTCAAGTAGGCCATAATATCGAGCGGCTCGGACCACTCTACTGCAACAATTTTCTGTTCCAGCTAATTGGTGACAAGGGGCTCGGTGGATTTAGGCGGGTAGGCATTCCACCTATTGGGGATGAGGCCATCCGGGACAGAGACAAAGAAAAAATGATCTTTCCATCCTTTAATAGAGGTAAGATTGACCTTGAAGAGGATCCTTTTCGTTCGGGCACTCACGACCAGGAATCCGTCGGTCTGCTGGGGGGCAACCTTGAAGAAGTAATGGAAGAGATCCAGAACGGGCGCCAAGTTAACTTCCTTGCAGCGGCATATGAACCCGGCTATGACCCGATAGGAATTCAACATTACTTGGGTCGGGACTATTTCATAGTGGTTGAAAAGGGCCACGAAGAAAGGGTGCAGCGGGAATCTTAGCCCAACCTTAACAGAATCAAAATGCACCACCGCCATCCCACGGCGGTGGCGCAGGGGATGGAGACCAGCGTGGAGGCGGAAGTCAATTGGGCCGGGAATAAGGGCAAGGACTTGAGCCCTAAGTTTATTAGACAACTTTTGTCTCCGATTTCAGATGGGCCTCAAGTCCAAATGGTGACGGGGGGCATCGTCAGGAGGGCGTGCTCTCATTACCGCCATATCATCACCGGATAAGGCGTCATCAGAGTCGCTACTAGACACATCATCAGAGGAATCGCTAGGAGCGGCATCTTCAGAATCATTAGTGGGGGAGGAGGTTCCTGCCTTATCCTCTGCAGCATCCATGATGCCTGCAACATCATTTGCCTGGGTATTCTCCTCTGAACCCCGGAGCGGTTCGATGACCGAAGGATCAGAAGGGCTAGAGCTCGATGACATTTGCACCGAACCAAGGAATGAAGAGAAGGAAGAAGAAGACAGCGGACTGGTGGTTACCTGAGCGAAATGCGAAATTAAGGATTTGGAAAAAAGGCAGAATACCTGAGCGAAATGCGAAATTAGGGATTTGGAAAGAAGGCAGAACACTTGAGCGAAGGGGTGAAAATCCGAAAACCCGGAACAAGAGCCCAAAACCCCTAGTTATGGACTAGAGGCGCTGTTACACCAACCAGTCACAAAGTAACACATAGCAAAGAACGCTCCATGGGACACGTGTCGCGCGGAGGCGAAACGACAGGTAATCATGAGTTATATAAGGAATACAAGTGACAGCCACCAAGGACTTTGAACCGTCACATCAGGAGCAGGCAAACACTAGCAGAGAATGCCGTACGCAATTACACCGAACGACAAGAAGCTTACGGTTCTACTTCCTCATGTTCCGAGCACGCTCGGAACATCAGAAGTGGGGGACTTGTGATGGGATATTAGGGTCCGACCCAATATACCGGCCCAGAATATCCCTGAAGCCCAGACGCAAGGGAAGGCCCAGGGAAAATCATCAGGCCCGAACGGCAAGCCCCGTTCGGCACATCCTGTTCGAGGGATGTAATTAGCACTTGAGTGATTAGCTTATTCCTGGTGAGTGGCTTAACTGGATTTAATCCCGTTCGAGGATTGCTCAAGTAACCGACTGCAGTTAATGCTGGATCATGGGGGCATCAAGTGGCAAGGGAGGCAACCAATCACCTTAGAGCACCCCATACCCCCATCTAGTATAAATAGCAACATTTAATTCGTTTGTAAGGGTTAGCATTTATTGACTCTCTAGCTCTAATAGCATTCTAGCTCGGTATTAACCTTTGGGTTTGAACAGCCGTTCGGTCATTTCTGTGTAATTGTTATTACTGCGTTAATACAAGCTGAGTTATTTGAGTAGTTGAATCAGATTTTATATTTTCTTTTATACACGTTACTGTAGCAATCCAATCCAAGATACAAGGTTAGTATTGGGTCTTCGGATCATTTGGGCTAAACCTCAACAATGTGTATCTTAAGTGACATTTGGGAAATGTTGCCCTTACTCACAAAAATAACACAGAGATACCCTTATCAGAAACACTGAAACTTGTACAAAAATAAACTACTCAGATTAGCTAATTGCACTTATAGTTTGATTAGCCACATAAACATTTGTAGCAAAAGGATGAAATAATGTTGTAATGATAAACTATTAATACTCCACATTAGTACGTAATACTCCCTCCGTTCCTGAAAATACTTCCAACTTTCCATTTTCGTTCGTCCCGAAAAGAACTTCCCTTTCATTTTTTGGCAAAGAATTTGTGGTTCACAACATTTCTCTCTCCTCTGCACAACTCTCCATCACACATTTCCCACTTTCTTAATCCACGTGCCACTTTATTTTGGAAGTAAATTATGGGACAGATGTAGTAATTATTAGAGATATTACCCGAAATAGGATTAAAACAGTTTAAAAATTTCAAAATAGGACTGTCATGTTTTTATTCCCCAAATAGGACTAATTACTGCCATGTTTTGGCAGTACCAGACTTCAAACATGACAGTAATTAGTCTTATTTTGGGAATAAAAAACATTACAGTTCTATTTTGGAATTTCGAAATTGTTTTAGTCATATTTCGGGAACTTTTCCTAATTATTATTGCTAATTGTTTTAAGAATGATTAATTAATTAATTGCTCAATTTCGAATTTGGTATTGGTATGAGTTGCGTATCAAATTTTAACGAACCATTCGCGCACGGTCCCGCCCAGATCAACGGAAGCCGCCACCATCCCCTTCCGATAGGATTTTACAAATTCTCGTGATAAGGGCGAAGAAGGATTTTATTGATTGACGTCGCCTATCCCCTCGCTTGGCAATGGCGAGTGTTTGCCACAGACAGAAGAAGTCTTCAATTCGGATTTTGTTTCTGCTGATAGCGATCGCTTGTTGCGGAAACATAGCTTTCGCCGTGAGATCTGATAAGGAAATTAGGGACCGATTTTACGGAAATTTAGTTAACTCGTCTGCTCCGGATAATGGAGAAGGCAGCATCGCGAAAATGTTAGGTCGCGTACTGGATAAAGAGTTTCCAGAGAACGATCAGTCTGAAGGTCAGGCTTTCCGTTTCCTGTTTCATGGTTTTGTTGAAATGTCTATTCCTAGCTGCTGCGTTTCTTTTCTTCTCTGTCGTTGTGGCATGTTCCCGTTTTTATCTTTCTTCGAGTTGCCAGCTACAATGTGTTTATTGCATCTGGATTCTGGAATTAGAAATTACTTAGAGGAATTACTATCACATGGGGTTAGACGGTCCTGTGCTTCATGTACTTAGAGAAATTCTGTTGGAAAGTTCGAAAAGCTTATGTATGTGCATGCAATCATTCAATTGTGTACACATGTATCATCTTGGTTCTTGTTAGTCCGAGTGAAATCATTCGGACTTGAACTAAATACTTCAAAAATACCGCGTTTTGGGCGATTTTTAGTTTTTGAAGTTATTATTTTAAAAAGTAAATACATTTAAAAAGTAAATACATCTTACTATTCCTGTAGTGTTAATTTTATAAAGTGTTAGCGGAAAACTATAAACCACTTTAATGGTTACCAAAATCTGGTTGTGGTTTTCAAACAAAAACAGCTAAAGACAGCCTGAGTTGGGCCCATTGTATTCGGAGACAATATAGTTAGCTACTAAACTGATGCTTTTTAGGCACTTCATACCTCTCTAATAGTTATAGTCAAGTGTTACTAAGTAACAGTCTTTGTTATGAGCAGGTTCTGATAAAAGCAGCTTTAACAGCTCTGTAGCTGATCAAGAAGTAAGTTTGCAACATTATTTGACTTCACTGATGGATGATAGTTGATTGGTTAAGCACCTGAGCTACAATGCTTGGCTGCTTGCAATATCTTTTATTTAATTGCAGCACAGGAATTCACTTTTACACTAAATTTGGTGATATATTGCCTAATAGGCCGTGCTGGAGACTGTTGCGGTGATTACACATGAGAAGAAAAATGAATCACGTGAGGCAAAGTGAGCAACTTTCATTTTGAATGTTTAGCTTACACCTATTTCTGTCATGGCATTCAATTTATCTAAGTTATTTTTCCTTTCGATCACAGTGGCACTAAACATTTTCAACTTCAAGATGTTTTTTCCCTGGAAAATGAAAACTCTGAAGACGTGACAACATTGATAGACAAAAAGGTGAACTGAAAGACAACAATTCACAAAAGCAATTTTTAAACACTCCCTGAATGCAATGCTTTCTGATGATCTTTATTTAACTGTAGGACAATGTGTTTGTTATGTCGAATAAGAAATCAAAGTATCCAATGCTTCAAGTTGATCTGAGGTCATTTACTTGTTTGTCTTCTTGGGTTTTCTAGATAGTATTCTCTTTTAACTACGTTTCTAGAAATTTGAAATTGAGTAACTTCAGTCTGTACTAGTTTGACATCAACTGTCATGTATTATGTAGGCTTATTTCTGATCTGGTGGTTGTTATTGTCTCTGCTGCTATTGGTGGAATTATTTTTTCCTGTTTGGGACAACCGGTTTGTGTTTATGATGGGTTGCCATTAATTATTAGTTATATCTTTCTTGATGGTTCAAAAAATGTGTGTAACACAAAGTTGCTATGGTAGGTTATAGTTGGATATCTTCTAGCAGGTTCTATAATTGGACCTGGGGGTCTGAAATTCATTAGCGAATTGGTACAGGTATGTATTCTATGTTAGAGAAAATTGTTTGGTTCCATTCTTGAAGACATTCAACTAGAAGTTTCTATTCCCATCACATCAAATTTTTAAGGTCATTTGTGGCTATTTTGAATCTATAACCATTGGCTGCTGTGATTCAGCGTCTTACAAAGCACAAGTGAATTCCTTTTCACAATGAATTCTGGATGAACATACGGTAACACTAATATATTTTCCACATAAGTTTAAAATAATATGTTGTCATGATACCAACATACGTGACACATCTGACCATATGTACTTGGCTATTTTTGTTGCATTTTGAATTAGCATTATGATTTTCTTGAGACTGGTAATTGTGAGACGTGTCATTTCTCACTTATTACAGGTTGAGACCTTTGCCCAGTTTGGTGTTGTGTTCCTTCTCTTTGCTTTAGGTCTTGAGTTCTCTCTGCCAAAGGTGCATTTGCTCTTCATAGGATACTTACTGCAATCTTTTTAAATAGTTGCCTAGCTGCATTTATGTCAGCGTCTTATCTTGTTTACAGTATATTTAATTTGTTTTTCACTTTTTCTCCACACAGCTAAAAGTTGTAGGCCCTGTTGCTGTTCTTGGAGGGTTGCTTCAAATAGCTTTCTTCATGTTCTTCTGTGGCATAACTGCAATGGTATGGTTCAAATTTGATACTTTCTGATAGAGATCCAGCTAGTCTAAATAATCAGAATAGATGGTTCAGGCGAGTTTATTCTAGAAGGCCTAAAATAGACTAGCGAGTTATTAGTTGAGAGTTGTTAGTAACTAATAACTACCTTCTGTTTGTAGAAGGTTATAAATAGAATAATTCTGCTGTGGGAATGCAGGCTGTTTTTTAGACAATTTGTCTTGGGACTAGGAGTTGGAGTTATATCTCCTTCTTGGGACAATCTGTACACAGTTTACCATTGTGAATGAGAATTCTGTTTCTTCTGCAAGTTGTTCATATTTTCTGTGATTGATTGCTGTGAACTGTGAGTTCTTATCATTGGTATCAGAGACTGGTTGTAGTTGTGAATGGTTGGCACGAGAAAGAAAATGGAAGGAAGATTGAATGACGTTGAGCGAGGTCAACGTGAAATGCAAGCCAGTATGGAGAATCTAGCTGCGAATATTGCAGCGATGCAAACGGCGATGCAAGCTAGTATCGCGGAATTACATGTTCAGATGACTAATCGATCTCGGAGTCAGTCGCGCAGATCGAACAATTCTCAGCGAACCACTCATCAGAGAATTCCGCGAGATGAAGATAGTTTGGAGGATGCAGATAACCATTCCGTTTCGCGTCACGACCACGAACCAAGACGGAATCATAGAAGTCAGAATAATATGGGAAGAAAAATTGACTTGCCAATTTTCAACGGAAAGGATGTTACATGATGGTTGTTAAGGATGAACAGATACTTCCGATTGAATAGAACGGAGGATGAAGATAAACTGGATGTGGCAGTCATCGCATTGGAAGACCAAGCTCTTAGCTGGTTCCAATGGTGGGAAGGACAGGCATAACATCAGAATTGGGACTCATTTACACGAGCGTTGACTAGGAGATTCCAACCGGATTTGGTACAGGATCCTTTGGGACCTTTGTTTAGCTTGAAACAGAAAGGATCAATATCTGAGTATAGAGACCAATTTGAGACAACTATTGCATCACAAGGACATTTATCTGAGGAGGTGTTGAAAGGTGTGTTCCTGAAAGGTCTGAAAAGAGACATTAGAGCAGAGTTGAAGTTATATCGTACCAGGACATTAGCTGAAGTGATGGATAAGGCATCACTGATTGAAAACAAGAATAAGGAAGCAATATTCATGAAGAATAAGGAGGAGAACAAGAAGAAGGGACATGGCAAGACTATCCTTCAGGCTCAAGGACAGAATTGGAATGAAGGTAGTAAGTGGAGAAGTTATTCGGGACCTTTAAGCAATTCTGGTGCATTAAATAAAGGGACAACTGATAACAGAAACCATCCTGAAGTTAAAGAAGTATCTGAAAGGAGACAAGGACCTAGATTATCTCATGAAGAGTTGTTGGAGAGAAGCAAGAAAGGCTTGTGTTTTAAATGTGGTGAGAATTGGGGCAGAGGTCATGTGTGTAAGATGAAAAACTACAAAATGATTTTGGTTGAGAATTCTGATGGGGAAGAAAATCCTGAGACTGAAGTGAAGGAAACAATAGAGGAATTAGCCACTAATACCAGTCAGGTGGACAACAGGAGCATGCAACTTTCAGTCTTAAGTAAGGAAAGCATATCCTCTATGACTACTTTCAAGGTGAAGGGAAAGATGAAATGGTTGGGAGGAGAGTTGGAGGTCACTATTCTAATAGACAGTGGAGCTACCCACAATTTCTTGTCCAGAACTCTAGTGGAGAGGTGGAGAATCCCTTATAGTCCAATTAAGGGATATAAGGTTCAAATTGGGAATGGTGAGTGTATACCTAATTTGGGCAGATGTTCTTTGGCAGAATTGGAGGTTCAGGGAGTACAAATTCAGCAAGAATATTACATGTTGGATTTGGGAGGAGTGGATATAGTGTTGGGAATGGAATGGCTGAATGGATTGGGTAATATGGAGGTGAACTTTAAGCATCAAATCCTTAAGTGGAAACAGAAAGGGGAAACATACATTATAAGAGGCAACCCAGCTGCAAATCACGTGGAGGTAACTTTGAAGACTATGGCTCATATTTTACATCAGGTTGGGGATGGATTCTTGTTGTACTGTGAAGGGGAATCAGAGAAACAGACTGAGAAGGAGGACATGGAAAATGAGTGGGAATATTTGATAGCTGAATTTCCAGAAGTCTTTACTTCTACACTCAAGTTTCCACCTGCCAGGGAATGTGATCATGCCATCAATATTAAGGAAGGAGCAGATATACCAAATATCAGACCATACAGGTACTCATTTGATCAAAAAAATGAAATTGAGAAGATTATTGCAGAAATGTTGAAATCTGGAATCATTACACACAACAATAACCCTTATAGTAGCCCCATTCTATTAGCTAGAAAAAAAGATGGGGGCTGGAGGTTCTGTGGAGACTATAGGGCTTTAAATAAGGTTACTATACGTCTATACCTGATAAGTTTCCTATTCCTATGATTGAAGAACTTCTGGATGAGTTAGGTGGTGCTAGAATTTTTTCAAAGTTAGATCTCAAAGCAGGTTACCACCAGATCAGGATGAAGGCCAGTGATACCCATAAAACAGCCTTCAGGACCCATGAGGGTCATTATGAGTACTTAGTTATGCCGTTTGGTCTGACTAATGCTCCTTCCACCTTTCAGTCACTTATGAATGAAGTATTAAGGCCTTTTCTGTGGAAATTTGCTTTGGTGTTCTTTGATGATATTTTAGTTTATAGTAAAACTAAGGAAGAACATAAATAACACTTAAGAATGGTACTGAGAGCTTTGAAGAAGAATCAGTTGGTGGCAAATCTTAAAAAGTGCTCGTTTGGCCAAAAACAGTTGAGTTATCTGGGACATATAATTTCAGAAGAGGGTGTGGCAGCTGATCCTGAAAAGATTGAGGCTATGAAGAATTGAATATCCCTAAAGATTTGAAGGAACTCAGAGGATTCCTAGGTTTAACTGGGTATTACAGGAGGTTTGTAAGGGGATATAGTAAGATTGCTGCTCCTCTTACCATGCTTTTAAAGAAAGACGGTTTTCTCTGGAATGAGTTGGCTACTGAGGCTTTCCAGGATCTGAAGAATGCCATGATTTCATTGCCAGTTCTAAGGGTGCCTGATGTTAACAAAATGTTTGTGATAGAAACTGATGCTTCGGGAAAAGGTTTAGGGGCTGTGCTGATGCAGGAGGGAGGCCCTATTGCTTATATGAGCAAACAGTTATCTCCCAAACATTTGAATAAATCAGTGTATGAAAAGGAATTAATGGCTATTGTTTTTGCTATTCAAAAGTGGAGACCTTATCTCCTGGGAAGGAGTTTTGAGGTCCATACAGATCAAAGAAGTTTGAAATATTTGACTGAGCAAAAGGTTATGGGAGAAGATCAACAAAAATGGATAGCCAAGCTGATGGGTTACAACTTTACCATAAGCTACAAACCAGGAATTGAGAATAAGGCAGCTGATGCCCTTTCCAGAAAATCTACATCCACAGTAACTTGCCAAGAATGGGAGGGTCTGGGAGAAGAACTGGAAAAGGATCCTAAATGGGGGGAGATTATGCAGAAGATGTTGATTCAGCCAGACAAATACCAGGATTATAAGATGAAGGGTGGATTACTTTACTACAAAGGGAGGTTGATTTTACCAAAAAGGTCCCACAGAATTCTGATCATTCTCAAGGAATACCATGATTCTGCAGTAGGGGGTCATTCGGGGTATTTCAGGTCTATGAAGAGGATTGCTAATTTGTTCTTTTGGGAGGGGATGAGATCTGACATAAAGGATTATATTCAAGGATGTGACACTTGTCAAAGGAATAAATATCAAGTTTTAAAGCCTGCTGGTTTGCTGCAGCCTTTACCAATACCAGAACATGTTTGGACTGATATTAGCATGGATTTCATAGGAGGTCTACCAAAATCCCAAGGAAAAAACACTATTTTAGTAGTGGTTGACAGACTGACAAAGTTCTCACATTTCATACCATTGGCACATCCTTATAATGCCAAAGGAGTGGCTGAAATCTTTATTCAGGAGGTAGTGAGGATACATGGTTTTCCCAAATCCATTGTCAGTGATAGAGACAGCCTTTTCTTGAGTTCATTCTAGTCAGAGTTATTCAGATTGGCTGTTAGAGTCTCAGGAAGTCAACTGTTTGATAATAATAATAGTAGTAGTAGTAGCTATTATGATAAAGTATTCCAGAAGAAAAGGGAATAATAAGTACCTAGCTGTTTTGTAATTGGGGGTCGGGTGGACTTCTATAAATAGATGGCTAAAGGAGGAATAAGGCAGGCTGTTATTTGGTATTGGGCTGGGACTGGAGAGTTGACATCTCTTTAACTGTCAGGGCATTTTCTCTATCTTTTCTGTTGATCGAATAACCATTCTTGTTCACTGTTCATCTTCGTTCATATTTTCTGCCGCCATTATTACTGATTCCAGATAGATACTTAACATTGGTATCAGAGCAACGATCTTGTTACCTGTTCATGGTCGTTACAAGAGGAACGATGGAAATGCGATTGGAGAACCTGGAACGTGAGTTGGAACGGAGTCGTCTGGACATGTTGCGAGAGTTGGAGAAGACTCGCATGGAGGTGATGCGCGATCGCGATCGGGATCGCGAAGACATGCGCGAAGAGGCCAAACGTACTCGCGATGAGTTACGCGAGCTGTTTTTGACCAGGAATGACAGTCGTTCGCGAATCATCGTCTTCCTCAGGTAATCATCATTCTTCATCCTCTAGACGAAATGATGATTACAACAAATTGGTGGAAAAATCTGGAAGGAAAGTATATTTACCACTGTTTAATGGACATGATGCTTATGGATGGATAGTTAAGGCTGAGCGCTTCCTTAAAATGAATCATATAGAGGAAGATGATAAAGTAGAATTAATTACTTTAGCTATGGAAGGAAAGGCTCTTAATTGGTTTCAGTGGTGGGAAGAACACACTGAGGTGAGGACCTGGGAATCATTCAAGTCTGC